GAGGATGAGGGGAAGCAACGAGAAACAAAAATAGAGGTATGCCTAATGGGCCCCGATATCGTTTATGCACTTGAGTTTGTCATGCGTTCCCGACCCACCCGCACACACTCCTCCCTTTTATCGCTGAGTTCTTATTATTTTTCTCGGAAGAGACTTATCGCGTGATTTTTTTTTCTGTTGTTGTTCTTTTTCCACTCCTTTCTCTATATATACCCTTTACTGCTGCGGGTTTTTCCTCTTGGGAGGTTTTTTTTTCAACTCTTTTCTTGAACTCTCGCTTACGCCTTAAAAGCATAAGCAGAAGGAAGGAGACGGTAGAAGATGCTGCCTGCAGCAGTGGACTCCCACGTCGGAACGTACGTGTCGGAGGCGCCTGCGCATCTGTTCATGTATGGCAACGGCCAATGCGGCGATGTGGGTCCGCTTGAAGCGGATGGGGAGGTGCTTGATACCAGCAGTGACAATGAAGAGGTGCAGTACGCCGCGGCACTGCGTCTCTATGAGGACTATCCGGAGCCTCTTACCAGGGCGCAACGCGAGTTACTCTACCGGCACACTGCGACGATGGTACATCGGTTTGAAATGTTGCGTAAAGGCACGCGCATTGTTGAGCGAGGCTACAACAGTCTTAACTCCCTTCTCTCTCGGCTAGAAGAGGAGCGGACACGTCTGCAGGCCTCGCTGGATGACTTGCTAAAGCAGGAGGAGGCAGAAAGTTTAGCTACAAGTCACTCCGAACCAACAAGGGCAAGTCGCACAGAGGACAAACCGCCTGCAAGCAGTAGACGCCCAGGTGGCCTGTTGCGTTCTGCGGCATTTGCGAACATGCACAGCATCCTCAATGCCGCGAAGCGTGAGGAGCAACAACGCCGGTCAAATATCACACTAGAACGGGAGAAAATTGGCAAAACGACACGACTTAAAATTATTGACGATGACCTTGCCGAGCAGAAGCAATACCTTGCCCCACTCATCGAGAAATATGAGAAGAGTCGTGCGCTCTTAGAGACGACAAAGGGCAAGGTCTTGGAGGCTCTGCGGCTTTACGACGAGATGCGGCGGATGGAGGTGCTGTATGCGTCGCGCTTTTTTTTACGCGCGTCTGGTTCGGAAGGAGGCGAGGGGGTGGCGGAAACCGCGACGTATGATATCTTTTTTGCCCCAGCGAAGTACACGGATGAGGTGCAGGACATGATCCGCGAGCAGGTGGAGGAGATGCTGGGTGAGTATCTTGCCTACCGCTCCCGCGTTGACCCGGTTCTGGAGTCTCTTGCGGAGGAGCGGCGCAATAGGGAGGCAAAGCGGGCAGATCAGCTCCTGCAACTCATTGGGGTTGACACAGAGAACATTAATGTAGCGGCATCCACGGACTTGGGCTTTGCGACACCGCTGGTGACGACAGCCGCAATTGGCGCGGCGCCTCTCGCGTTGAAAAAGAAAGATGGAGCCGCCGCGGTGGCGGGACAAATCAGTGATACGGAAGATGACAACGACGATAATGACACAGGGGGTGAGCCGCAGGAAATGAAGCAGCGTGATCAGATTCAGTCCGCGCTCGCCGCTCTTGATGACTTTGAGGAGCTCTACTGAGGCGGCTTGAAGTTGGTGATGGAAAGAAAGAAAAGGGAAAAGGGCCGGGTGAAGTTGAAACAAAACAAAAGATAATAATCAGGACCCACAGACTTTTCTAAGAGAAGAAGAAATGAGGACAACTTCTTTTTCATGACGTTTTTCTTTTTTTTCCTTTTCTTTGTTCTTTTCTTCACTTTTGTGCATCTCGCATATGTGGTTGAAGGTACAGTGAGCTCTTGTTGCCTGCTTGCTTGCGTGCTTGCTTGCGTGCGTGCGTGTGTGTGTGTGTGTGTGTGTGTGTGTGTACGGTGGGCGAACAAGTTCGCAGATGATTCCAAGGCGAAAACCGTACGAAGACAGTCCCCCATGCCGTCAGAATATCATAACGGTGGCCACTCCTGGCATCACGGCTCAGCGTTGCCAGATCTCGCGCTACACCGGCGTGGATGGCGTAGATGTCCTTGAAAATGCGTGTAGCTGGCAACCTCATGTCGACTCCATGACAATCGAAGATCATGCAGCAGACGAATTGCTGGCCTTTCAAATGGGGCATGGGAACTACGTGCTAACGGCAGAGGAAGAGCCTCCTTTGCTTTATCACGCTAGCTGTCGTGTGGCACCGAGGCTTCTGCACAATGTCATGGCATCTCCTGAAATAGACGAAGTAGTGTATAACAAGTGTAGCTTCAACCCTTTGCATTGGCTCTTGATGCTGAAGGAGTTGGTCACGTCTCTTGCGTTCTCCGTTTATCCTAGACGGTGTGCGTATTCACAGGTGCGAATGACAAATGTAGGCGGAAACAGGGACCAGGCGGTATGCCGGCGGGAGATTCGAAAAGCAGTTCGAATTATAAAGAAAGCTGCAGTTAAGTCACAGCGTGAAAATGACTTGGCTGCGCACTCATCACCAGGGCGATTACTTCCTTTAAAACTTGTCTTGTTTGGCTGCAGTCGTGGGGCCACCACCACATTTTACACCGCGATGAAACTGCCGCTTGAATTGGCACAATATGTATCTCTTGTGGTTGTTGAGGCACCATTTGATACGCTGCATAATGTGATTAACTCATCTTGTTGGTTTCCACGCTTAACGTTGTGGTTTGTTCGGAATTTTTGCGATTATGAAGGAGATGAACCGTATTCCTTTGACCCTGATCGAGTGCAACTTCGCTGCCCCATCGCCTTTGTGATGTCTGTAAAAGACACCCGGGTGCCAAACAAGCTTACCCGTCGGCTGATCGACACCGTCAGGCGGGAGTGTCCACAGATCCCTGCAGTGGAGGTGTTGGAGCTGAAGCACAGTCGGCACCCGCTGATGGCCGTGGGGAATCGCGAGGACCAGGATGCGTATGTCGCCTTTATGGAGCGACTCTATGCCACCTACTGCAGCTGAGACCATTTTTCGTTGGGGGTTTTATTATGGGCGTGGAGGCACGATAGAGGCAGCGAGAGACAACAGGACGGTGTGAAGTCGGCGTGACTGTGTCCGTATTTTCTTCTGGTTGAGCAGGTGTCGTTTTTCCCCTCCAAGAGAAATGAAAAAAAAAAAACGAGCTTGTCTAAATGCCTGTCCCTAGTGGGAGGAGCGTCTGTGGCTGCCACGTTTGTGTGTCCGTTTGGGTGTCGCCGCACCGCTTCACTGTTCGCACCCGCATTTACGCCTCAACGCCCCCTTTTTTATTCTTATTATTTGTTTCTCCTCAATCATTGCATGTTTCTATTTGGTATGAAATAAACAAACGGAGAGAAGCAAGGTGGCAAGTTGCTTCCCCCCCTCCACACACACACACGGAGGATTAAAAGTGAAGGAGCCGCACAGTTTATATCATTTTTAGTTTATTTTGTAAAGTGGCGTTGGCTCTGCCTTTTTTTTTTGCTTGTTTTTTGCTTTTTTCTTGTATTGATTTGGTCTGTCCCTACTGAGGAGTCGCAGCATTGCTCTCTGCGCCAGCGGATAGGAAGAGGATGACGTCCGTTACATCCCTGCTCGCGGCTGAGGTGGTGGCGGAGGGATGCGAGGACCCCTTGCTGTCGTATTCCTCCCCACTTCCGCAGGAAATTGAGTCCACCTCGATGCGGACGCACTTGTGGACGATGCTTTCAAGGAGGCACCACCGTCTTTATTTGCCACATGAACGCCTGAAGATGGAGCGGTATGAGTCTGTCGACACGTATGAGCCCGCTACGATAGTGTACAAGGACCACCTGGAGAGCCGCAGCCAAGAACCGCGTTGGTTCATATGGGTGTTTGTCTTTGGACTGGGTATCGCGTCGAGTGCCATCGCCATCGCGGTGGTTTCTCTGTTGCATGTACTGAACGGCATACGTTACGAATTATTAGGATTTGGGCTTCGAGGGTTTTCTTTCAGTGATTCAAATCGATATGCAATGACGAACCGCACTGAGTTGGATATTGCTGCCCTCTTTGAAGGAGCTGGTGCTGGCCTCTACGGTATTGAACCGCGCTCCCCCGCAAAAGGCTATTTAATGTGGATTTTGTTTAGTGTGATGCTATCTGTGATGTCAAGTCTTATATGTTGTCTTGTCCCTGAGAGCATCGGGTCTGGGTTGCCTGAAGTAGTGGCGTACCTGAATGGTGTAAATTATCCTATGCTCGATAGTTTTAAAGTGCTCCTGGCAAAGGTGAGTTTTATCATCTTCAGTGTTGCCAGCGGAGCATGTACAGGACACTTTGGCACACTTATTCTAGCAGGTGCTATGCTTGGCGCCCAGGCTCTTCAACGACGGCGTCCGTTTCGCTGTGACAGCGTAAATATTATCGAATGCTTTCGTAACCCGCGTGATCGTCGAATTATTATTGTGATTGCGGCAGCAGCAGGGGTTGCCTCGGCCTTTGGTGTTGCCATTGGTGGACTGATGGTTGTAATGGAGCTTATCTCTACGATCCTGCCCGTGCGGTTTGCCCTCTACGTCTTTGCCGCTTCCTTGGTGTCTTCCCTGACGCTGCAAATTTACTTTTCCTTCTTTGCCTATTTCAGCCTTCGCGACCGCCGTTTCTACCCGCAAGGGGAACTCCTCTCAGAAATGGTGCAGTCCTTTGTGTCTTGTGTGTCGCTGGAGCAGCTGGTGCGGATGCATATTGTCTACTTTGTCCCAGCGATTGTTGTTGGACTTTTCTGTGGCGTAGCTGCGGGGGGCTTTGTCCGGTTGAGCTCTCTCGCGCTGGAGCTTCGGCGTCGGCTGGAGCGGCGGCTGAAGACGAAGGCCGTCCGCTACGTGTTGCCGGTGCTCTTTACAGGCGTTTACGTGTCCATCAACTACTGGGTGGTGGCTGCGATGGGCGGTGGCGGATGGTCACCACCCGCGCCAGGAGGGGCTGAGGAGAGCGGCGGCACGCAGATGCACGCGCCGCAGCAAACGACGAAGGGCAACCTCACTCCAGCCGGGTTTCATACTGCGATGGGCGGGCCATGCGTGGGTGTTCCCTCCACCCTGCTTAACACCCGAAACGTGACGGTTATTGCCTACTATGGGGCGAATGGATTCTTCTGTCGGGCCGCTACTTCCACGAGAAGCGAAAGCAACGAGGAAGTGGGACGCGACGAACCAACATTGAGTGTGCTACATGGCTACGCCTCGCTCGCTTTTGCCAATGCCGACTCCGTGGTGCAGACTCTACTTAGCTGGCATACGGAAGAGATGTTGGGTGCACCTGTGCTCTTGATTTTCTTCTCCATCTACTTTGTCGCCTCCGCCTTATTTCTTGGTGTCTCACTGGGTGGTGACACGCTACTCCCTGGACTTGTCATTGGGGCAACGGTCGGCCGACTGGCTGGAATTGGTGTGCACTACGCGGCGGTGTCGGTGGTCGGGGACACTGCGGCGGCCGCCTGGGCGGATCCAGGAGGATTTGCCCTCATTGGAGCTGGTAGTTTTATAGGCGGCACGACCGGCCTTACCTTCTCCATTTGTACAATTCTGATGGAAACCACCAGCGATTTTCAGCATCTTCTACCGCTTATGATGGGTATTACCATCGCCAAGAAGACAACAGAACTTTTTACACAAAATATTAACACAATTCTACTCCAAATGCGTTGTGTGCCGATGCTCGACTTTGAGAATGAAATTCACAAGTACCCCATGTTTGACGCTCGGCACGTGATGGCATCGCCAGTTGTGGCATTGGAGACTGTGTGCACCATTGGACGTATTCTTGACGTCCTGCAGAGCACCCGCCATAACGCCTTTCCTATAGAAAGCGTGCGTGATCGGACATACAAGGGTATCATTGTACGACAGCAGCTGGAGATTCTCCTTTGGCACGTGCACTTTACACCATATCCTTCTATCTGCACCTACGAATTTGGAAAAAAAGTGGAGGCGCGTTTGTTTTACGACAAATTGCTGGGCACCGTGCCGCCGCTAGAAACGCGATTGGAGGTTCGCATTGATCTTTCGCCCTACATCGACCACTCTGGTTTTTGCGTCCTCGAAACTACGACGCTTCCGCGGACCTACACTATGTTTCGCACCCTGGGTCTGCGCCACCTGACGGTCGTTAGCTCCGAAAACCACGTCGTTGGCATCATTACCCGGAAGGATCTCGTGACGGATCGCATCATCGAGGGCATCGTCGCCGTCGACAAGGCTCGTCGCAGGTTTGTGGAGCAGCGGCGCCACGAGGCCCCCGAGGGGGCGTCCGACACACCGAGCAGCATTCACAACAACAAGAGCGGCGACAGGGACACAAGTGGCAGCGATTCTTGGAATCCGCTGAATGGCGTGAGGAGCTCTGGAAGGGAGCAGCAACGAAAGGGGAAGGACTACGAGTTTTACCGCACAGGGGAATGGATTGTGATGGGGAAGTGTGAGGGTGGTTGGGCCGAGGCCGCAGAAACAAGGGAAACATTCATGCATCCCAGTGCGGCGAGGGTGGCTGCCATCCGTGCCCAGGCTGAAAAGAAAAGGCACTTCCCGTGCTGAGCCTCCTGACTTTGACGGCCTCCAGTGGGGAGAATCGCAGGCAGCTGGCCCACCAAGAGGTGGTACCACCGTTGGCGTTGTTCCCCAATACCTCTCAAGGCGCCTGAGAAACTTGTGTCATTTTCAGTGTCTGCGAAAAGGTCGTCTACAACTCGGATGACTCTTGTCGCTACGGCGCAGTTTGGCCCCACGTCGGTGTCGACGTCACCTTGGCACTGCAACAATAACTGGTGACGGAGAGGAGGACACTAAGAGTAAGTGCTGCTGCTGCTGCTGCTGTTGTTGTTGTTGTTTTTGGTGGTAGCGGTGAGAGTATGTCACTTCATGTCCTCATGACATTATTAGTAATATTCCTCTTGAGTCCGCTGCCCCACGCCGTTGGGCCCCCGTCAGCAGAAGGACCCACAGGATTCTGCCGTAATAGGGGAGGTTTGATCTGCTGGTCTCTGGTGCTGCGTCGGCGCTGGTGTCTTCGCCGCCTCAAGTGGAGTGATGTGCTTTCGATTGTGCATCCGCCCACACCACTTTCTGGGCAGTGTGTGTGTATTTTTTTTACCTTTTTTTAGTCTCGCTGTTGGTCTTCTCTTTCTTTGCTCATGCACCTTGCGATGAAACACTGCGAACTTGGCTAAAACGAAAACAAAAAAAAAAGGGTTCCCCCTCATTCCTTCCTTCCTTTTTCCCTCCCCCTCCTCTTCCTCCTGCACAGTCGTAGACAGAGACATACGCAGGCGTCTTTTTGTTGTTGTTGTTGTTGTCTATAGTTTCTTTAGATCTACACTGAGATGCGGGACAGTGAAAGGGCGCCGGCGCCGGCGCCGGCGGCAGTGGAGCAGGAGCACGTGCTCTACACTGGCGCCGCGTTGATTCCCTTTTGTGTCGGGAGTGTTGCGTTGCCGCTTTCACTCTGTCGTGCCCCCACATCGTCGCCAGCACCGACCGCACCGCCGTCTGTGCCCCGTGGGAGGGCAAACCCCCAGCGACGCGCAAAGAAGAAAAGTCAGAAGGGAGCATCACATAATGAGGGTAACGGCGATGATCCACATGATTACAATGCGGGGATCAGTCGATGTACACACCTACGCTACAGTTACCTTCGAGATGGGTCCTCCGCAGCACAAGACCTAGCTTATCGTCGGGAGTTGTATACTTCGGGCGAGGCAGGAACGCTGTCAGCCTCGGTAAGGGAAGAAGGAGAGGCGGCAACAAGCGGCTCCCAATTGTATGCCCTAGTTGACCGTGTGGTGTTTAAGCTTCCAAATAGTTTCCCTGAGCCACAACGCGAGTTAACGCATCCACCGTTCTTTATCATGGACGACACATGGGCGGAGCACCTGGTGGAAATGGAGATTCACTTTCGCCCGTGGCTTGGTATCGCGCCTTTTACGGCGTCGCACATGGTGCTTCTCCAGAAACGAGCCGATTTCTCACCTCAGTTGCTAAGCTCAACGTTTGGACAGACCAAACCGCCACCGACTGTTATCTTGGCACCTTCTGATCCGTTGCTGTCGCCGACATCCTATTCAGCGGCGGCCATAACGAGACCTCGTTCAAAGAGGCATGTGGAAGAACCCAATGAAACTAACTCCGCAGTTGTTGCGGAATACGACGCGGGTATCGGGGAAGTTTGCACGGAGGAGCGGGGGATTTGCGTGAACGTTGATGATCTTGAGGAATTTTCCATTGTTTCAGAGCGTCGAGATGCGATACGCATCTTTCATCCAACGTTGAATGTGGCACGATTTCTGGCCACCGTGCGGACGTTACCGCAGCCGGGGTTAGAGACCCCACCGTCGTTCTGCGTGCTTCCAGGACAAAAGAGTGTGCCATTACACGTGCAGCCAGATGCAGACAATGCATCCGCGGACAATTCTTGCCGTGGCGGCGGGAAGCGAGGTCGGTCCAACGTCGCTGACGGTGGAGATTCTTCAAGAGCCCAGGATGTGGGGTCGCTCCCTCCTTGGTGTTTCCCTTTTGAGGCCATTATGCATGCGCATGAGCCAAAACGAAGAGACGGCGCCATTGACGCGATGCGGTCCGTCTTGGCGGCACTGCGGAAGGAGCAGACCGAGCTACGTGAGGGCATCGAGCAAAGGATTAGCTCGGCAGTGACCAACGCGGAGGAGCTCCGAGGTGTCATTCAGAGGATGCGGGAGACGTGTGCATTACTGGAGAAACCTGTAAGACAGTAAAAACAGCAACACACACAGGAAAGCGGTGAGAAAGGGGGGGGGGGGGAGAAATGTGTCTTTGGCGGACCCTCCCTTTCAGTGTCCGCAACCAAAATATTGGAAGCACACACACGTGCGTCGTGTTTTATCCGTTTCTATGCCATACTCGCGTGTACGGATCTTTTTTTTTTGTTTTTGTTTTCTGGTTTCCCTTGTTGCTGTTTATTTTTCCCCCGCCAATGTGGTGCGTGGTAGAGAGTTGCCTGCAAGTTAAGTGCTGCAAGGGGGAAAAACTCTTAAACGCAAAGGGAAAGTGAGTGTGAGTGCCAAACCATAGAGCCAAGATCTGGGGTGATCACTCAAATTTGTTTCCGCATAAAACATGGTGAAGAGTGGTTCCCCATTGGACGCGATTGCTATTTGTGGCCCCTCAGGCGTGGGGAAAGGAGCGCTTCTTGGCCGCTTGCTGAAGGACTTTCCGGATCGCTTTGGCTATTCCGTCTCGCACACGACAAGGCCGCCGCGTGAAGGTGAAGAAAATGGACGCGAGTATCACTTTTCTGATCGTGCCACTGTAGAACGCATGCAGGACGAAGACGAGTTCATTGAGCTCTGTGAGGTGCACGGGAATTTGTATGGCACTAGCGCGAAAGCGATGGCGGCGGTGCGGGACACCGGAAAAGTTTGCATCCTCGAGGTGGACATCAAAGGCGTCCAAAAGATACGCGATAAGGAGTCGCTGAATGCGCTGTACATTTTTGTTACTTCCCCATCGATGGAGGAGCTGCGCGAGCGCATTCGGAAGCGGGGGGCGGACAACGAGGAGGTCCTTCAACGACGTCTCCGCACTGCTGAGGAGGAGTTGCGGTTCGTTGAAGAAAACCCCACCTTTTTTTCGCACATTATCCTCAACGAGGACCTTGATGCGGCGTACGAGGAGCTACATCGAATTCTCGAAGAGGCGTTTGAGACGTGTAACATGCGTGGTCTGAGGCGGATCTCCAGGGAAGCCGGCGGATAAAAGGTGTGAAGGTTGCGGAGGGGTTGCAGCTGTGCGTGTGTGATTGTGAGTCTAAAGCCTTGACGTACACCTGTGTGTATCTGTATGTGTGTTCGAGAGAAGAAGTTGGCCTGGGAGGAGGCGAGGGCGGCTGTTGAATGGCGCCTGATAAGCAGGAAGCAAGATTGTACGGCGTCGGTAGGGGAATACATATGTGTATTTGCCAACTTTCAGCTGCACCGCTCCTGCAAAATTTTACGATGAGGGGTGGGTGTCGGCATTCCTGTATTCGGCTCCTCTTGCACCGTACCTCTTAAAACTCCAAGCCAATGCGTTTGAAAATATATATATATATATATACATCTATTTCTGCATTGAACTTTATTTAGCTATGGGAGACACCTGTGCTGTTAGTCTCTGTCTTTTATGCACATGGAAGAATAACTTTGATTGCTCCCGGTTTGGAGTGATCAAAAAAAAAAAAGGAACTGACTTTTTTTGAGTTTCTACAGGCATCCTTATTGAACTGTGATTCTTCAACAGAGATGGTTGGGACAAAACCTTTGCTTATGACTGCCCCTGTTTATATATATATGGTGGGCATTAAGGTGACTTGGAGGTATGTCTCGTGGTGTCGTTTCAAGGAACACAGCCGTCGCTTCTCTCCCGCCGTCCCGCTCGCCCAGCTTTATTACTTCTGCTTTATTGGAGCCACACTTGCGGCTGTAAATATAATTCTTCCATGCGTAACTAGGTTTACTTTGAGACTCCTTCTTTGACAGTTCTGATGCGTTCTCTCTGTGTCTGTGTTTCCTCTCTCCATTCCTACCGCCGCTGTATGTGTTAGCATTTTTTTTCTCTACTTTCATTTCGTGTCTATTTGCCTTATTATTATTATTATTATTATTTTATTGCCCTTTGGGGCATGTTCTCGCCACTATTCGTGGCAACCGTGCCCCCTCACGGAAAGCCCTTTGGGCGCTTTGTATTAGAGCCTCTCCTGGAGGCCCTACATGAGTGGTACGAAGGAGGCCGGGGGTGCCGCCCCGCACCACGGAAGGTGTGGTGAAGTGAAGGAGTTTGCTTCCGCGGCGCGCTACATTCCCATGCCCGAGTCGCTCTGGGCGCTGCGCCATCGCTTTCCAAATGTCACGCGATCGGTCCTTCTACAGTGCGTGCGGTGCCATCGGTGGGTGGCGCAGCCCGTCACGACGCATCCCCCGGACGAGGTCCCGACGTGTCCAACACGGTTAGAGAAGCTGGCGTCAAGGCCCAAAACTGATCGCCGTCAGCGGCCGCCGACGGAGGAAGGCGCGCCAAAGGAGGAGTGGCGGTCTCCCCGACTTCACCGGCACTACGAGAAGGTGATGGAGGTTGTCAAGCCAGCGAAACTGCGGGGTCAGGAGGAGCCGAAGGAGGTTAACGCATATTATATACCGAACCCCGCTAACTTCACCTGTCAGTGGGTTTACTGTGCCCTCGAAGACGCATGGACGGATTTGCGGGAGCAATGGCTGGGGGAGTTGTACGCCACCTTGGACGGGGTCAGGGGAGAAGAGGAAGGCGGCAGCAGCAATAGCAGCAAGGGTGCACGCCTGCGATGTACGCAGCAGTCTCCTAAGGATCAACTGAACGAGGAATTGGTAAAAGAGCTCCATGGAAAGCGTAGTGAGCGTCTGGCGCGGAAACCGCATAACGGAATGGATAACAAACACGAGAAGAGTGAAACTCATGGAATTGCGGCAGAAGTTTTGCTCAATGGGCGCCTTGCGCAGCAAGTGGGCGCACTCATACACCACGATGAGGTCGTGGTTGCCTCTTTCTGTTGGATCAGTTGTGACCGCTGTGGGAAGTTACGACGTGTACATCAACCCTTTCCTGGTGGTGCACCTTTTGTTTGCGCGCTGGCATTAAATATTGGCTCATGCAGTGTGCCAGAGCAGGAAGGATTGGGTCCTGTCTTTTGCGGTCAGGCGGATCAAGTTTCCGAGAGCGACAGGACCGAAGGTATTGTGGGTGATCTAGCCCTTCGTGACGTCGTTGGAGCAGAGGTCTCTGCGGCCTCTGCTACTGCGGTTGCCGCGTCCCCCAGTGACAACGCTGGAAATGGGGCCACCAAGACGATGGCTAGTAGTGGTCGCCGAGTTGGTCGAAGCCCCATCGTGGGATCAACTTCGGTGTGTAAAGGCAGTGCTTCCGTGAAGGTGGCTCTCCCGCTTCTTCGTGAACTCACAGCAGCGCTGCGTAAAAGGGCTCTCGGGGCCTTTGTAAAGAATATCCTGACTGTCCCGGAGGAGGTCCGCGCAAAGCGTGAGAGCGTCGTGCGGGCCTCAATTGTTGTTGCGGAGGGCTTGAAGCACGCCGACTCCGTTTCGCCCAAACGTGAAGAGCGAGGGGGGGATTCGCCGGATGCGCTGAGGAGCACTTTGCCGCCGGAGAGCAGAAATCAACCCCGTCAAGCGGAGAAGGGGGAAGAGAAGAGGGAAGCTGTGGGGCAGCAAAGCCTTGCCGTGGTTCCTGCCGAAACGAGCACCCGCGTGGCCCAAGTGCCTTGCAAGGAGGAGGCCCCCCGTCGTTGCCGACGACTCGGTTGTCCGCCGCGGCGAATGAGGGCGGAGGCACGCGAGGAGGGTGCCCAGACGCGAGTGGATTCCGGGCCATTGCCGCCGATTGAAGACATTCGTCCAGAAGAAACGAGCGAGCGGACCTCCGCCGTAAGGTTAGAGGCGGTGGAGACGCCTCCCGCGGCAGCCGCTGACCCTGGTTGCACCGATGCTTCGCTGAACGGCGCCCGTGTGAAGCGGGAGGCGTCGGCTCCCGCACCCGCGGAGCCCGTGGCAAGGGCAGCGGAGGCTCCGAGTAAGGGATGTCTCCCCAAAAAGGTGTCTGGAAGAAAACGCACGAGACCGCCAAAGACGGAAGACGCCCAGCAGAATATTGATGCCAGCGATGATGTTGATAACACAAGAGGGATCCGGGGTGCAAAACCCCGTGGCGTTCTTGGTCGTGTGGAGGATGACGCCACAAAGAAAGCCTTGAATGAAGAGGAGGTGGAGATCATTCATTGGGTGTGTTGTGATTTATGCGATAAGTGGCGTATTGTCCCCGAGAAGATATCAGAGGGCACGTCTTACTGGCACTGTGAGATGCGTGCGGATGGAACGACGTGCAGTGACACAGACGATGAGGTTCGCATGAAACGGTCGGAGAGGCGCGGACGAAAACGCAAGAAGCAAAACAAACGGGGCGACGGTTAGGCAGCTGGGCACATGTGCAAGTGTGTATATGTTTCTGGTGTTTGCTTAATTTTTGTCGTGTTGTGCTTGTTGTTGTTCTCCCTTCAACAGAGAGGAGGAGGAGGAGGAGGAGGAGGAGGAGG